TGCAATGCCTTATTATTAGGTAACCAAGCAAACGCGGAGCACTTGCAAGTTCGCAGATCGCATAGAGATCATCATAGTTCATGTCTAAAAAGTGTGACGTGTTAGAGAATAGATTTATTCTAGACTTTAATTCAGGAGATCATAAAAATTTCAAATATGGTAAAATATCTCTGTTATTGAAAGTCGTGTTACACAGTGTTGTTAGTTTTTAATCTAGTTGTTTAAGATCTTGCAATATAAACTTTTGACGAATTCGTATGTATACGAAATCGATGCCTACCTCTTTTGGATGACTAACAAATTAATTTGCATGATTCTATTTCTGAAAGTTTTCTGATAATGTTTAAGTCACATTTTGGTAACTTTTTAAAATGATTTTAGTCACTAATTCACTATTTTTATTGCTCAACACTGCTATCAGCCCTGAAAATGCTATCTATTCTGATATTGGACGCAATGGACCCTTTAAAATGGACCAAAATCGTAGAACATCAACTTTTAGTAAGAATTTTGATTTTTTCAACAAATAATTATTATTGTTTTTTTAGAAACATAAAGCAAAAATCTTAAAATACTTTTTTGTTATTGAAGTTTTTAACATCTTTTGACGAAAATTTGTGATATTCGTCGGTGTATATTTTTTTCTGAAAAGATAATCCTGTTTCCTGCAACTTTGTCGCAGACAGCATTTAGGTTAGGTAAGTAGTTTTCACGGTATGATTTTTTGAACAATATTGAATGCGCCATTTTGAAAAATTAGGCGACAGTCAAAACGGCCGAATTCCAGCACAAACTTGGTTTATTGCCTCTAGTGAAAAATTATACGAAGTTTCATGGAATTCGGAGAGGGTAGAATAAAATCGATTCATCAGGTGGCGAAGATATGCTTTATTACCTTCCACCATCAAATCCGATTTATGTCGCCCAGTCAGTGATGGATAAACCTGTTTTAAACCTTGCGGTGAGAAAATTTCTACATTTTGTTCTTTGAAGTAATAGAGACATTATGTAGAAATAATATATAAAAAAAAAAAAAAATCACCGTGATATATAATTTTAATTTGACGTGAATTTTACGATATACGTTCTCAAGACGATTTTTCAACGAAGGTGGCCCCTGGTAGTGAGTGCTGTCATAGGCAGCATGATACTTCTAATTTATTTCTGAATACCTGGATTTTAGATATTTATAGCGTTTATAACAGGTCTTAGACTTTTTGCATGTAAAATTCTGAACTTCGATTTTACAAAAATAACAAATAGGGTAAATTATGGCTTCGGCACCCATTGACTGTTTTCGGCAACCGAAATTGAAACATTAATTTCACTGTATTTTCCCATCATAACTCTTCACTGAATGTATTCAACCGATTCCTTACCCTTTCAGCTTCAATATTATTACATTTTTACGACTGAGCAATCCTGTTATGCCAGATTTTTCTTTAAATGAAATATACACACTACAAAATACGGCTGATTTCGAGTTGCCGATAATAGAACAGCTGGTTAACACGCAGTTCAAATGGAAATGGTGCCGAAGAAAATGAGACTGCCGACAATAGTCACACTCAACTGAGAAGTTTGGAGCGTTGTAAAAGCGTGTTCAACCCGTTTTGATCAATTCTGTCGATTGGAATTGATAGAACAGCAAGCAGCAGATAAATGTCAATAAACAAACCCGTCATATATGTGTGTGACGCTGAGAAATTGCGAATAGAAGTCCGGATGCTGCTTAGATTGACGAGAATACGTAAATTCCCCTATCATGAAATAAGTTAGCAATAAGGAGTGCATGTACCTGCCCGTTTTATCTCGCATGACCAGTCTACCCCACTTCTCCTGCTCAAAAATTGAGTAAAGGACGATGCCCTCTTACTGCGTCACGTTAATCCGTAACACTGATAAGCAATGCATACGGTATAGGAAAACGTGCTGAAAAGTGTGAGGGGCAGCGTACTTCGGTATTCCAAATTGAGTAAACGTTGCTTATTTTCCGCTATTTTTGAGTTACGTTTACTCTATTTTTGAGTACCGTTTACTCCATACATGAGCAACCCCGAATTTTGTCAAAAAGAGCCGTGTAGAGTCATTCATAACAATTATTGTCGCAATATGCAAGAGAGGGTGCCGATTTCATGAAAACTCTAAGTAGCTTTGAAAAGAGCAATACATACTTCTTTCTTTAACTTAACATGTTGGATTTCGTGTTACCGCATGTAGGCATTTGCCGAAAATGCATCATTTGCCTGTGTGCACAACGTTCAATTTGCATAATAATTCATCACTACTCTTCATTTTTCTTTCATGCAATTTTCGATGCTTACGTTTTACATACCTCCGGCCCGTGTTCCTGCAATGCAATGTACGATATTCTTTTACTCACTTTGTGCATCCAATCGACGTCGACTCTATCAATCACAATTAATATTGATGACCGGACACTGACTGCCTGTTTTTGGAGATTCCAGATTTCCGCTTTTTGTTTTGAAGAAGACAATTGTGATGCCCACGTTTCCGCTCCAAAAGGCATTTGTTTTCATTCAATGACCTGTAGGTTTCCTCTATTATAAAATGCACCCCTAAGAGATTTTTATTAATCTCCTGTGTGGCATTGTGTTTCCTGAGCGACACTCGCGTTCACATCCAGTACGAGAGTGCTTTAACTCATGATTATATGGCTAGTTAATTTACTTTCATAGCAACGTGAAGTTGGTCGTTCCACCATACTAAGTACAATGTATCAGTATAGTATACCATATGCAGACACGAAAGTGAAAACTAAACTGAACCCGCTCTCGGCTGCGTACGTTTCTCCCTATCCGTTTGTAGGTTCATCATATAATAGCTAATGATGGAGAGGTGGCCGTATGTTCCACACTACCGATTTCAGGTGTTGTTACTTGAACCTGATGATAGCAGTGCCCGCGATAAAGTTAATATGATAATGAATTAGAGGTGGCTGAGGTAGAAATTATCTTTGACTAATGGTCCCGTAAATGATTGGTCCGTTAACTTTACCTTCATAGCTCATGGGTGAATTTAAACTATCGCACATTTCGGTATCGCTGGTAATAAAATTATCGTTATTCATCCATGATATCCATATTAAATATGCGACTGAATGAAATCGAATGTGTGCACGCAACACAAATGACATGAGAACATCAAATGTAAGGGTCGATTTCTTACATCCTCTGCATTTTGTCTTACAATGGACTGTGACCTATAAGCAAGTTTTTCCAGAATGAATATTTTCATATCAAACCTTCACGAGATGATTTTATAGCCGCATTTGGGAAGACAAACTTTGTTTGAAAATTTGTTTGAAATGAGTGATACATGATGAACATTGTGAGGGACTTTGGGAGCTTAATTAGAAGCACGGATATCATTCATCACGTCGAACTAAAATTCAAGGCTATCAACGCTAAATGTTTCTATTCGAATGGAAAATAAACTTTTCTTTGCATTGATTTTAGTAGTAATTTGCTAAATTAGATGATTTTACACAGATTATATGCTTATATCTTAGGTTGATGCTGAAAGTATGAAATAGACTAAAATAGGTAGACACCGTATCTATGTTTCATCAAGAGCTAGCGTCACTGACAAACAAATGTAAAGTTGTTGGATAACGCCACCAGCATGTTTTACTTGAAAACGTGCATCAGCAATATAAATTACATACAACAACATCAAAACTGTTGTGATGGATGCCGGGAAAATCGCAAAAGGCTTTGTCCCAGACATGCTAGAAGGAAAACTGCCTGCATCTCACTCAAAACCCTCCGGCTACGAATGCTTTTCCGTTTCTGTGCTTCTTTTCCATTCGACTTTTTTTCTTTTTCTTTTGTTGTATTCATTTCCTTCCTGTTTCTTTGCATTGATGTTCACTGAGTGCATTGCTTGCTTGCATTTTTCTCGTTAATTTGCTTTAATTGTCGAATTGTTGAGAATCCTTTAATGTTTTTGTTTTTCAGCAACTAGGCAATAGCTACTTGTCAATGGAAAGCCTTTAATAGATTTTTTTTTCACTCTCATATGATTTGATGTGTCGCATGATGGATTTTGATTTAAAAAAGTTTTATCACTTCCCCGACGGTATCCGGAACATGTCCGAGTGTGGTCAACTGGTGACTCGCCATGATTATTATTGATCTTATTCTCAAATTCTAATATGGCACGTTTTTCAAAATGTCTGGTCTCAAGACCCATACTCGCCGGAATATGTTTCGGCGATAACTCCGGAACCAGCGGAATGATTCCATACACATTCAGTAACGTTCTATGGGACCATGGTGTCCTTCTACTGTTCAATACTATGCTAAACTAACTAAGCATCATCTTGGCACTGTGACTAACTTGCGGTTATTTTTTCTCATTGACGTTAAATGTAATCGCAAGTCAGTCCCACTCCGATTTGGCCTTTAGAATAAAAAATTCACGATATTCTATTCAAAATTCTTTACTAAACATAGATGCATTCACGTTTATTTTAAAAATTATTCCTCCAAAATAAGTGTAAAAAAAGAAATTTGTAAAATCTTTGAACGCCTTTTTTTCATCTCCAGTTTTTTACAGACGGGACTGACTGTGGTTATGGGTAACAGTTGTCCCCTCTTAACCGACCGTGAAACCACACATTTTCATATGTGGATAAATACAACATGCGCCTTTTACCGATGCCGCGAGAGCCTGGCATTTGCTAATTGCCTTAATTCTAACTTTTGCTTTTACCATACTCGTTGACCTCTCTCAGTCGATGTAATTCAATTTGAATTGCAATTTCTCTCTTGATTTTTCCATCGATGAAGCAATCTGAAATTCAATTATTTTCCATTACCGCTAAAACTGCAGAATATGAAACAATCAAATTAAAGTATACCTAGCTTGGTCAGCTTGTTTTTACAGAGATAAATACCTACATATCCCGATATTGGATAATGATACGTCATACCGATTACTAATTAAACCCATTATTCTCTGCTTACATTCAACAGAAGCGTTGCTACAATCTCGTCCATTGCCACACATCCCACCGCCCGGCAGTATCATCCCTGGTGATCTACTTGCTCAAAGCCAAGATGGCTCGGAAAATCACACCGGAACGCTCCACTCACAGGGCAGCTCAAATACCGCTCAATCTAGCTTCGAAAATGCCCATCGGTGGACATCTAAAGAGAACCTGTTGGCGCCCGGTCCGGAAGAGGACGACCCACAGCTGTTTGTAGCATTGTACGACTTTAAAGCAGGTGGTGAAAACCAATTAAGCTTACGAAAGGGGGAGCAAGTACGAATATTGTCCTATAATAAATCCGGTGAATGGTGCGAGGCACATTCCGACTCGGGCCATGTCGGATGGGTACCCTCAAACTATGTGACGCCGCTGAATTCCCTAGAAAAGCACTCCTGGTATCACGGGCCAATTTCGCGCAATGCTGCTGAATATTTGCTAAGTTCCGGCATCAACGGAAGCTTCCTGGTGCGAGAAAGCGAAAGCTCTCCCGGGCAACGTAGTATAAGTTTACGATATGATGGACGAGTCTATCACTACAGGATATCGGAGGATTCCGATGGCAAAGTGTACGTAACCGCAGAGGCTAAATTTAACACACTTGCTGAACTAGTGCACCATCACAGTGTTTTGCATGAGGGTCACGGACTGATAACGCCACTGCTCTATCCAGCGCCAAAGCAGAACAAACCAACCGTGTTCCCCCTGAGCCCTGAGCCGGACGAGTGGGAAATCTGTCGAACAGACATAGTGATGAAACATAAGCTGGGTGGTGGACAGTATGGGGAGGTGTATGAGGCTGTGTGGAAACGGTACGGAAATACGGTGGCGGTAAAGACACTGAAGGAGGATACGATGGCACTAAAAGATTTCCTAGAAGAGGCTGCTATTATGAAGGAAATGAAACATCCGAACTTGGTGCAACTGATAGGTAAGTCCCTACTGGATTCATTTATTCACACAGTGACAGTAAGGAGGATTTTAATAAATTATTTACTATTTTTTGGAGCACGACCAATGAGAGTAACTCAAAATTGAGTCGCATTCGATCAAAAATCGGCTCAAAAATCTGGAAAAATCGATGTAATTTTAATCAGTTTATGAGTATACTCGTAAACTGTGTAACCATTTCATAGATTTTCCAGATATACGAGCTGATTTTTGAGGAAAATCAAGCAAAATTTTACTAATCCACTAAGTCCGATTAGTAACGCTGGTAGATTGAAATTACATAACATTCACAATCGGTGCCGTATTAACCGGTGAGCTAAAGCCAGGCCTGGAAAATTGGTTTTCCCAAATCAGGATTACTCAGGATATTTATTTCAATGATGCTCAAGATAGATTAAAATAATGAGTGAAAAATAAATAATTGAGGGATGCTATAAACCAGACTTAATTGGTTAATGATCATGAATATTGAGTACGAAATATTGATGAATATTGATATCAACACTTCTATTAACAAATTCGCAAGTATGAGGAGTCATAATCAGATTTAGTTTAATCGGGTTAAATATGTGTTAAAATAAGGGACCTCCCTTAGCTCAGGCGGTAAAGGCACAGCTATAAAGCAAGACCATGCTGGTGGTGGCTTGGTTCGATTCCCGGTCCGGTCTAAGAATTTTTCGGGTTGGAAAATATCTCGACTTCCCTGGGCATAGAGTATGATCCCGAGCAAAGTCTGAGATCAAATTGAAATCTAAATTTGATGTTGTGATTTCGCTGATAATGATTATTCAAGTTGCTGTCGTTTTGACCGTTTTAACGGTTAAAATATCAAAATTGAGAGCAAAGAAATCTTCCTGTGACATCACATTGAAAACTATTTCTTTTATCAGTGAAAGCAAACTGAAAATTAAATTTGTTATCAATTTTTCCTGTTGATAACAAAACAAGTATTCAATTGGATGTTATGCTAAGGCAATGAAAACAAACCCGCAGCAACATATTTTTGAAGAGCAAATGTACAGCTAAATGAAAACAAAATTTGGTATCAAATTTGTCCATTGCGTCAACTGAAATCAAATTATGATTTCAGTTTGAAGTTGATATCAAAACTTGATTTCAATTTGCTGTCATTTTGATGCTTGACTTTGCTCGGGATAGTACTTGCCACACAATTATACTAATGCAAAAATGGTACAGGCATCGAAAGCTCTCAATTAATAACTGTGGAAGTGCATCTAGAACACTAAGTTGAGAGCACGCAATAAGCTAATATGCCATACGCAATAAGCTTGAAATGCGAGGAAGAAGAAGAAGATGTGTCAAAATAAAAGCAGGTTAGGAAAATAAATTTAAACGAAAAAGGATTGTCGCAAGTACCTATTTTTATTTCATGTGTGCTAGAATTTGAAAATTGATATCAAATCAAAGGGGGCCTGCAATCAACAATAGACCAGGGGCTCCAAGGGTGGTTAAGACGGCCCTGTTAAAAATAGCTTTCAAAACCTACCAGTGCATAACTTCTTATATATGAGTGACAGGCACAATGCCCAGGAAAGCATAAGACATTCACAATCAATTTTTTTTGCTTTACTTATGTGGTTTTTAGCCGAGGGCTAGTTCATCACATAAATTTACAACACGAATAGACTCTCGACTTCACCTTACCTTTTCTGGTTCAAAATCTTTAGATGAGACTTAACCTGCTGTAGGGTAAGGTGGGGCAAGATGGGTCAGCTAGTACGTTTATCAATTTATTTGTTCGTCAAAATCAACAGGTTCAATGCAACCCCAAGATGATAGTTTGCAGCATTGGTGTATACATTCAGCCTGTTTATGTTGACAATCAAAAATAAATAAATCAAGTACATAACCCATCTTTACCCTAAAATGTTACGCATACTAACTTGTCTCCAATTTTACGGGCGTCCCACAGTTCCTAGTTTGTAAAACTGAGTTTTTCAATGGAAATGGTAGCTAATCATCTATATTTTCATAATACTAAAGAACTCAACAACTTTGTTCTGAAAAAGTTTGGAACGACAACCAAATTCGTTGTCACATCACATAAGAAGCAATGGTACGAAGCAAACTTAAAACGCGATTTTCTCGTCTTGCTGATTTCTGATATGGGACGGACATGCGAAGAGAGGCAGTATAGGAATCATTGGCACCGAGGTCGTTGGGATTTTTCTGAGGCGAAATAATCTCTGATCACGCACTTCTTCAGAAAGAAACTAAAACCGTTGGTCCTAGCCCGAGATGGTTTTATGACAGGTGGGCAGGAGCTCACGGTCTTGCCGTTAATGTTCACGAAAAGTTCACTATTTTGCCATACAGAAATTCAAAACAAAAAATTTTATGGCGAATTTGGTCAGTTATTGACCTGTTTCATACGACCGGAAGGTGTATGCTGGTCACAAATGCCGTCCCAAACTGATTTCCTACGCAATTAATCAATCTTTGATATGAATTTCGCTAATAAACACGGGGAGCCTTTCTTATAGCAAAACTTGCCATAACAAAATGGGCATAGTTCATTTTAGTAAACAAACTAACACTTCTTTCTTGTGTGTCACCTTTGATGAAGCTCCTAGGGACAGGACAGGACCATTGTCTTTCTCTCGTTCTAGCTGGGCATAAAAGCATCTTTATGATTATCGTTACTTCCTATCCTTGCGCGTTGATTATGCTGACATTTATGAAACGAACCAACTCTGATCTTCAACCGTTGTTAGGTAGATCTTTAGCGATTGTTTAGGACTTTATTTACATTTTTTGCTCACTGAACAAACATCGCGGCTTAGAATCACATGCTGGCACCATGGCGATGATCACTCTCCCCTTACTAGACCTGTGCGCCGATCAAAATATTTTCGGCGGCGGCGTGATATGTTATTTTCTGCCGGCGGCGGCGGCGTGGCGGCATCACGCCGTTTGCTTTCGGCGGCGGCGGCGTGGCGGCGTGGGTCGGCGTGAGTGTATTTTTAATGATTTAGAAAAAAATACTTTTCAAACTAATCCCACATGTACAAAAAATGCTACCCACATTTGAGTTCAGATTACTCAAAATCGCTAAAACGTAGGTCACTCATAGTGTGAATAAATTTTGCGACACTTTCCCGGGAAAAAGTTCCTGAATATATGGAAAATTTAAGAAAATTTTACCCACGTTTAGAAGTGCACTAGTGGAACGACTACAACCATATTCAGTTTTCCTCATATTCGAGAACTTTTCCTCGGAAAAGCGTCGGAAAATTGACTCATTCTATGGGTGAGCTACGTTTTCGCGAATTTGAGTGACCTGAACTCAAATATGAGTAACTCTTACTCAATTTTGAGTCGTTCTCATTGGCCGTGCATTCAGAATTTGTTTAGAAAAGTAAGTCAAGTGCTTATTTACATTTGCAGGGGGTTGAGTCGTATAGCAAAGTGTAAGCAACCTTTTTATTAAGTATTTAAAAGTACGTTATGTAGAGGTGGATAGTATTGAAAAGTAATCTTTTATCATTTATTGAGAATTACACGTTATTTATATGTTGATAGTGATAAATGATGTGCTTTTATTACTCTGATGCATATTTGAATGTACGCGCATTGTAGTCATATAACTTGTGTTTATGTAATTGAAGATGAAGTCTTTCGGATATACGTAGAATCCCGCACAACTTGGACCAGTTAGAGATTAAAAAAAAGATCAAATTTCAGCGTGTTGTTAATAATAATCCCTTATTCACCTTTATGTAAATCCGATCCCCGTCAGTAAGCCAGTGATTATTGCACAATTCTATTTTTACAAATGCTGTAATTGTCATGAATTAAGAATGTTTTATCCACATTCTTATGGTGGATGCCTGACCGACGTGCAGATACGGTCGGCCCAGCTATGTTAAAAACTCGTTCACTTGGTGTGCACACACAATACCTTTCACGAGATCTTGCGAACCAAGGCTGCCAAGCTTTCTAATTTTCCAAAAGCAGAGAATATCTCCATCTACAACGTTGTTCGGGTATGACGTAGCCAAATATGCGGTGCACTCTTTCTCGATGGCAGAGGTCACACTATCTTCAACGTTTGAGTGCTTCATAGCAAGACTGAGCAACGAGGAAGATGAGTTAGAAGGAATTTCATCGCATTCATCTGATTAGAAACCCATTTGAATATTCGTTTTTTAATGATGTCCGTACAATAAATTCATATCATACAGTACGTACAAGAAATTGGTAATCGAGCGTTCATCCAAAGCACTTTTAATGCATTTCAGGTTTATAAATCGAGGGTCAAGTAAAGTCGAAATCAAAATTAGGTCCTTAACAGGAAACTTTCGATTCAGATGCTCCTTCATCCCCAGATTCATGTGTGTCATGGCAAGCAAGTCCTCATTTTTTTCACTGATACAAGCTTCAATCTCAGATCGCAAGAGCATGCCAATGTTAACTGTTGCATTCTTTTCAGCAGACAACAGGGTTACTATAATCTATAAACTAAAACGGAATTTTACAACAATCTTTTCACCACCATTATGTCACCATGTTTTAGAAACAGACTAGAGTAAAATCACATTGGAACTAAAATGAAACTTTTCACACTAGACGTGCGCTACGTGATCGACTTTTAACTGGCACGTTTTTAACTTGTCCGCTGACTGAGACAATTTTTCAGTTGAAGTACATTTTCTGCCAAAATGATGCGATTTCAAAATGTCAAGATTAACTGGATGAACACTGATGCTTTTTAAATGCATTTCAATTAGTGGATTCCGTTCGTTAGGTGAAAATCAAACATTATTTTCTCAGCTATCGAATGTCTAGTTTATCAGTAAACAAACATCTGATCTTCAATGCACTGATTGGATAGTAATTTTCAAACCCTTTATGGTCACCAATCGGTCAGATGGAACTTATTTGTAGGCTTAGTTGCTAGAGATATAGCAACAATAGTTTACAATTATAGTTTCAGAACCACGACTTTAAAAAAAACTC